TGGAAGTGGTCGTGGGTTTTGGAGGTGCTGTCTGAGGATCTTTGGTGAATTTCTGCAGTGCATCTTGTAGATAGTACACACTGCTGCTACTGAGTGTCGGTGGTGGAGGGAGTGGATGCTTGTGGATGTAGTACCAATTAAGCGGGCTTTTTCCTGGATGGTGTCAAGCTTCTCGAGTGTTGTTGGGGCTGCACTCATCCAGGCAAGTGGGGAGTATTCCTTTACACTCCTGACTTGTGCCTTGTAGATGGTGGACAAGCTTTGAGGAATCAGGAGGTGAGTTACTCGCTGCAGTATTCCTAGCTTATGATCAAATGTCAGCTTTCCTGCTCCTCTGATGCTGCCTGGCCTGTTGTGTTCATCCACCTCTACACCTTGTTATCTCAGATTCTCCAGCATTGGCAGTTCCTACTATCTCTTATGATCAAGCCCTCTCTTTTTGGTTGATAATAGTCACACTATCACATCTGATTCACTATTTCTATTTTAAAACAGGACTCCAGACTTTCAGAGTTACTGGAACAAAAACAAATTTGCTGGAAAAGCCCAGCAGGTCTGGCAGCATATGTGAAGGAAAAAGCAGAGTTAATGTTTCGTGTCCGGTGACCCTTCCTCAGTTTTTGTTTCAGAGTTACTGTGACAGTTTAGTCCATTACAGCTGAGTTTAAACACTAATTAAACACACACATTGTTTCAGAAACATTACGACCAGTGACTTTTCTAATCATTAGATCACCATCAAATTGATTAACATTCCAATCAAGAAGGCTTCATCTGTTTTCATTTCATATATCATTTTATTTCAGCTAACCCAGCAAATTTAAGGTTAATAGCTACATATAGGCCAGTTAGATTAACCAATGTTATTGAGAAAATGTTAGAATTTATTATAAAGGATGTGCTATCAGCACATTTCGAAATACATACTGTAATCAAGCAGAGCCAACATAGCTTCATGAATTGGAAATTGTGCATGACAAATTTACTAGAATTCTTTGAGGAAGTAATAAACTGGATAAAGGGGAAGCAGTGGATGTAATGTATCTGGATTTCCACAAGGTGTTTGATAAGGTACCAGACATTAGGCTACTTAATAAGAACCCATGGTGTATATCTGTATGAATAGAGGATTGGGCAACTATTAGAAACCAGAGAGTTGAGATAAGGGGGCATTTTTAGGATGGCAACCTGTAACTAGTGAAGTGCCATAATGACTAGTGCTGGGCCCACAGTTATTCACAATATATAAAAATGATTTGGATGAGGAAAGTAAATGTACTGTAACCAAGATTGTGAATGACATGAAAATAGATGGGAAGGCAAGAGGTGAGGATGACACAAAGAGTCAATAGAGGGATATTGCAGGTTAAGTAACTGGGCAAAAATTTAGCAGATGCAATATAATGTTGAAAAATGTGAGGGTGTGCACTTTGGCCAGAAGAGAGGAGCTGAATATTATTTAAGTGGAGAAAGACAACAGAAAGCTCCAGCACAGAGGGATTTAAGAGTCCTTGTGCATAAATCACAAAAAGCTAGCATGCAAGTTCAGCTGAAAATAGGGAAGACAAATGGATTGTTGGCCTTTATTTGAAAAGGACTGGAGTATAAAAATTAGGAAGTTTTACAAGGCATTAGTCAATTATAGCTGGAATACTGTGAGCCGTTATGGTCCCCTTATCTAAGGAAGAATATATTGGCAGAGAACGTTCACCAGGCTGATACCAGGTATGAAGAGACTGTCTTATGAGGAGAAGTTGAGTAGGTTGAGCCTGTAATTATTGGAGTTTAGAAGAATGAGAGGTGATTTTATTGAAACACGTAAGATCCTTAGGGAACTATACAGGGTATATAGGGAAAGGTTTTTATCCCCTTCTGGGACAGGGACCAAAAAGCATGATCTCAGAGAAAGGGGTCACCCATTTAAGGCAGAGATGAGGAGGAATTTCTTCCCTCAGATGCTTGTGAATCCATGGAATTCTTTACCACAGAGGGCTGCCAAGGCTAGGTTTTTAAGTATTCAAGGCTGTGAGTGAATTTGCTGCCACAGTCCCTACATTATCACAGTGACAAAATGTCAAAATATATTATTGACTATACAGGCAGTCCCCAGGTAGCAAACAGGTTCCGTTCTTAACTACACTTGCAAGTCAATTTGTGTGCAAGTCAGACCATAACTTAAATAACTGTTCATTAGTCTGAAGAAATGTTCGCATGTCAGATCTTCAAAATTAAGGTTAAAACACCGCTGTATGGAATCGTGTTTGCTGTTTCTTGATAGCAGCAAGATGGTGGTAGTTTGTATGGGGCTTTCTTTCTGTATTCATCGGGATCCCCAATCGTAGAGCCTTGGACTAATTTGCCAATGACTGGATGTGACTGCCACAGATCCTTTGCCAAGATGTAATTAAACGAGAGCTCGGTTGTGCAGGCAGAAGTGGCAACAGCATCGAGGCTTTGTTGGGTCCAGAGCGTGGCAGCAGCTGGGGGGCTGGATCAGGACTTTGACATTGGAGATCGAGCCCAGCGTCAGAAGAGCGAGCCCAAAGTGGCAGTGAGGGAGGTTCTCCTGGCGTCTGCGGTGGCAGCGAGGGAGGTCCTCCTGGCATCTGTTGTGGCAGCGACGGAGGTCCTCCTGGCATCTGTGGAGGCAATGAGGGAGGTCCTCCTGGCATCTGTGGTGGCAGCGAGGGAGGTCCCCCTGGTATCTGTGGTGGCAGTGAGGAAGGTACCCCTGGCATCTGTGGTGGCAGTGAGGGAGGTCCTCCTGGCATCTGTGGTGGCAGCGAGGAAGGTCCTTCTGGCATCTGTGGTGGCAGCAAGGGAGGTCCCCCTGGCATCTGTGACGGCAGGCAGGCAGTCTGAGGTCTCTTGGAAAGGGGGCCAAATTGGAGGAGATTGAACCCTTGTAAGCTAAGCACTTTAGAAAGACTATTGAACTTTTAACTTTATTTCTTTACATTTCTACTTAATACTAAGAAGGACTGTAATGTTTAACCTTTAACTTTGCTTCTTTATTTTTCTACTTTGTACCGAATATTTTGTATCTAGGTAGCTTTGTACCTAAGATGGCACAGGGAATGGCAACATTGAACAATTTTCACTGTACTCATGTCATTCTGTACTTAAGTTGATGTAACATTAAAATATAATTCCAAGTACAAGCATTCATAAGTTGTATGCTCGTAAATCAGGGACTTCCTATAAATCATTTTGGGGCTTGAAGTTGTGATAGGTACCATAAAAATTCAATAGAAACAAAAATTAGTGGAAGAAATCAAAACGTCTGGCAGCATCTTTGAAGAGAAACAAGTTAATATTTCAAGCTTGATTTAATACTTCTTTAGAATTCTTTCGATATTAGATATTAGTTCCGAAGAAGTTATATTGGACTTGAAACATTAACTTTTTTTCTCTTTCCACAGATACTGCCGGACATGATAAGTTTCTTCAGCACTTTCAGTTTTTATTTCAGATTACCAACATCCAGTGTATTTTGCTTTTACTATAGAAATGCAAGTCTGTACGTATTTCCTTAATACACCATCTCTCAAGAGAATCCACTGTTAAAGGAAGCTAATGGATTTATAATCCTTCATCTTTTATGTAGGATCATGAAGTATTTGCCTGATGTGTGTTTAGTGAATCACAGCAATTTGTTTTGCAACAGTTGTATTGTGAGTTACCCTGACTTTTAGTAGTTTTTGGTCTTTTTGACTCTCTTTAAAACCTGAGGTCAACCACAACTTTGCTGCCCATGTCCTGACTCTCAACAAGTTCACCCCTGAACCTTGTTTACAAATCCCTCCATGGCTTCATCCCTTCCTATCCCTATGATCCTGTCCAACCCACAATCTTCGGAGATCTTGGTGTTCCTCTTGTGCATTCCCAATCACAATTGTTCTGCCCTTGGTTGCCATATCTTCAATCGCTTTGATCTTAAATTATGGAATTTCCCCCCTTGACCTTCTCCTTTCTCTAGCTCATTTGTCTCCTTTAAACATTTCTTAAAAGCCTTCCTCTTTGACCAAGCTATTAGTCAGCTGACCAAGATCTGTCCATGAGGTCTCAAAATCGGGCATTTTTAAAAATGTTCCTGAGAAGCATCTTGGGATGTTTCATCAAAGTGATATATAAATATGTGTTGATAATCTGATTATATTTTTGCCATATTCTTGTCCCTTCTCCAGTTCTTTGTCCAATAGTTCACACTGTATTAAATCTCCACTTGTTGGTTTAGATGGAAACTGTAGTGCACAGAAGAGGAAGAGGCTGGAGTCTATATAAACGCAGCACTGAAGATCTGGAACAAAAACAGAAATTGCTGGTGAAACTCAGCTCGCTTGGCATCATTTGTGGGAAGAAAGCAGAGCAAACATTTCAAGTCCAGTGACTCTTCATCAGTTCTGATGAAGATTTTAGACCAACATCTGCATTTCTTTATTTCATATTATACTGAATATCCGGACGTATCTAAAGGATATTTTGCTGCAGTGAATTCAAAGGAAGGACAACATGGTTGTTGGAATATGTAAAATACTGATGAGCATTGTTGTCACTTCACTAGGAGGGCAAACTCATCCTAAATGTATTAAACTGACTTATTAACAGAGTCAAATATGGTGTGAAGAATAAACTGTGGGCTCTAAGGATGAGCTCTGGATACACTGGGCTTCTGCAATGACATGACATGGTTAACATCAACACTGAGTGAATTTTAACTTATGGACACGTAACGGAAAGCATTAAAACCGGCCACATAATAGGCACAAATTTAAAGATGTTCATAGAGGAGATCTTCCTCAGTATTGCTCAATGCTCAAGTGATTCATGCCCTGTTTACAGCTCCCGAGCAACCTCACCCCCACACCCATCACCCTGACCGTCATTCACAGCACTCTTGTGTTCAAATGGATGTGTGTGTGGAGTGGGCTCTGCTACCCCGAGTAAATGGTCCATTCAACCCGCAGATGGAGCCAGTTAAACAGCCGGAGAGCCTAGAGGCAGCGGGAGACAGTGTTAGAGTTGGGTCCTCAGCCTCTCTCCCCAGATTAAACTCTCTCCCTTTTGCAGACCGAGAGCTACCGCCTGGGGAAGCCCACATCCCAACCCCCCAACCCAGGATCTCCACCCCAAATCGCCGGGATCCCAAACCCACCCTCAAACCTGGGTGTGAAACAGAGGGAGCCTGCTCCCCGGCAATCAGGAGCCTGCAAGCCGGTCTACCTTGCTCTCCTCCGGATTAATCTCCGAGAGGCATTGGGGAAGGAGGCGGGAGATAGACAAGGCGAGAGAGAGACTGAGTCTCTCTGGAACCGAACCCCCGAACTCGCAGTCCGACAATAAAAGCCGCTGCAGGAGTTGGGTTGATCCACATTTACAGCAGAATGTAAACAATCTGGGTCTGGAAGGATGTCCCCTCGTCAGTTTCCAGCTGATTGGGAATTTCCTGGCTGCGGAAATTGACCTGAGAAATTCCAGGAGACTGGAGAGAGAAAGAGGTCGCCCCATCTCCGTAGTGTTGCAAACATGGGTTACTGTGGCAGGAAAACTAAAACTTTGGTCTCCACTTGTGTGATCCTGAGCGGAGTCAGCAATCTGCTGTGCCTCATCTATGTCGGCTGGATGACCAACTACCAGGGCAGCGGATTCATCAAAGTGCAGCCGCCTTTACCTGAACTGAAACTGGAGGAGGACAAGAGGGAGAACCAGAGGCTGAGGGAAAGGTTAGATCGACTGGAGAACGTTGTAAATCAACACCTACAAGGTAAGATTTAACTCCATCCACTCTGCAGAGTCTGTGACCTGCAACTTCCCTTTCTCCACATTCCCACTCTCTCATCCTACCCCGTTCTTTAACCTAGATGCCTAGACGAGCCTGATTCAATTCTGAAAGTCTCATGTTAATGAAAAACCCCTGGCCCCTGACCATTTCTTAATAACCCAGGTTGTGTTTTTAATTCTGGGACCAGTTTATTCTGCATCAGTCTGTCCTCTAATGTCCATCAGCAGGTCTCTCCAATTCCCCATCTGTCCTTCCCCATAAAGTCCCATCTGTCTGTCTCCCTAAAGCACTATCTGTTTGCCCCAATGCCCAGATTCTGTCCCCTATAAGCCCCATCTGTCTCTCTCCCTAAAGCACTACCTGTCTGACTTCTTAATGCCCTAGTCAATTTCCCTAATGCCATATCAGTCTATTCCCCCAATGCCCCATCAGTCTGTCCCTCTGGAGCTCCATCAGATTATCCTCCTAATGCCCCATCAGTCTGTCTCTTTAGTGCCACATTAGCCTTTTCTTCCAATACTCCCTGGTCCCAGTCTTTGGCCGTCCTGACAATTGATATATGGATTCCAAAAGTTTGTTTGTTCTCCCAAACTTGATAATTTTTCCTAGTTGTAAAATGGGCAAGCATTAAATGCAAACAGTTTATTGACTCCTTTGCTCCCCTCCCTCCTGTGGTTTGTGGGTTTTTGAGGTGCCAGTCCCACCTGTGATCAAAGTGTTATCTGTGATGAAGAACACTGGATAGAACTGATAAAATCCGACTTAGACAGTGGAAATTGACAATGAATGAGTGACCCTGGGATATTGCCCAGGTCAGAAATTGTGGTTCTAGCCAACAGCAGGTTTCAATTGAGGCAGTCCAAATTAAATATAATCCAATCATTGAAACATGCACAAAACCCAAGGCTTTGAAAAGCAAGGTTGCAAACTATATCTGTCTGAATGCACTGCCCAGGTTTCTTTGTAAATGGTATCTGAACTGTCTCTATGAGTAAACTGATCACAAGTTTGCTTTGATGGAAGGAGCCTACAGGAAAAAATAGATAGTCCTTTCATGGTGTGGCGGAGAAGCATTACTGTTGCTCTTTAAACAGATCAACAGACTCTGTAAATTATTCATCCCAAACCAAGAAGTTCCAAAGGTTTCAATATTATAGTTCACTCTTGGTATGAAATATTTGGTGATAGAGTTTAATCAATTTTTATCACTGCCAGACCTAGCTCTATGTTTAAGAATTAGGAGTTGGAGCAGACAATATAGTCCAGCAAATTGGATCTCCTATTCAATATCATGGCCAATCTTCGATTTCAACTATAATTTCCTGTCCTATCCTCATGCTTCTCAATTCCTTTACTGTCCAAATATGTATTGATCTCAATCTTGAAGACATTCAATGACTCACCATCCATAGTTCTTTGAAGTAATAAAACACAACTACATGCAATTTTTGATGTGACTGAAATTCTCCTCATAAAAGTCTGTTAGGAAATTGGTTAGATCAGTTGGCTAGATGTCTGGTTTGTGACACAGTAACATCAACAGTTCAAGTTCAATTCCTACACTGGCTAAGGTTACCATGAAGGACTCTGCTTTTCATCCTCACCTGAGGACATAGTGACCCTCAGGTTAAACTGGCACCAATTGTCTCTCTCCTGTTAATGAGAGAGGAAGACTGTGGCAAGCTTATCTTTATAGTCATTGTCCTATTCTGAGACCATGACTCACTTCTGTGTAATTCAGTCTTTACATGAATCATTTATTGTCACATGTATTCAATGTAAAAATACTGTGAAAAGTGTGTACGTTTGCTGTAAGTACATGGCGCCATTCACATTAACTTAAAATGAGATAAGAAATAAAGATAAATTAAGAGAGTCCAACTTTCCTTTCCACTGTGTCTGTGCCCTTTTTAAAAAGTGTTATTCAATTTGAATATTGCCGATAGGGATTTATGTTGCCAAAGATTTTCATCCCGCAATGATCAGAACAAATTCAAGAATCTCACACTTCAAATGATTACAGCAATTTACACTCCAGGAGAAAACGGTTGCTGATTAGTTGGCGAGTTATCATTGATTGTGGCACTGCTATGAAAAAGCAATGGGAACTATAGACACACAAGTGATTCAGAAAAGATGCAAGGCTTCAATACATTCCTTTTCTTTTGTGGAGAATGGGCCCCTCCATATGAATATATGTAACTTGTTGCAAATGTAAATGAGCCACATTACAAGCTTGACTGATAATTTTAAACTGCTTGTTAGTGTGTCACCAGCACACTCAAGATTATTTGGTTAGTGCTGACTAGTTAGAGAACTGTATCTAACAGTAGATCCTTTGTTTTGGATTTGCAAACACTGACTGATGAGGTAAGCTCTTTACTCTATCTATTACAAATAATCAAAAGATCATGCTGTTTGATTTAGGATGCACAACCTGCCAGGGAGCTTGGGGAACCGATGTTTCCATTGCTTTCTTCGTTGTCAACAACTTGGGCAATGAAAGACAACTTACTAATCTGTCAGCACCCTTCTCTTGTGCACTATAAATTGTTGCTATTGCTTAAAATTTGATGTTCTCGTGTTTATTCCTGTGTCATCAAGAAGAAAATCTTCAGAAAGATTTCTCTCTTTTCAGCATTAAGTTCTGTACTAGTAAATAGCTGAAGAGATTTCTGCTTATGTCAGTCCTAAATGATCAACTTCCATGTTCTAAATCACTCAGCTAGAGAAAACAACACCTTGGTGTCTACTCTATCAAGTCCTTTCAGAATTTTATATATTTCAATAAGATAACATCTCATTCTTCTGTATCAACAGAGCACAAATACAATTTCCTCAGCCTCTCATCTTTGGAAAGCTCTATCCAGGGAGCAATCAAGTGAACCTTCACTGTACTTACCACATACAAAGACACTATTCCTTCAATATAGAGACAAAAACATTGCACACCATTCCACATGTGGACTCAACAAGTCCGTACAACTGTAGCAATACATTTTCTTGTATTCTAATCCCATTCCAACATAGAACAACAAGATTTGAGTTCCTAATTGCTTGCTTTAGATGGACAGTAAATGTTGTCTGTTTGTTATTTGAGTACATCCAAGTCCTACTGAACACCAACATTTACAAGTTCCATGTTTTGTCTGAAAGATGGTACTTCTGATAGCGCAACACTCCCTCAGTATTATGCTGGAATGACAGCTGAAATTTTATGCTTCAACTCTAAATTGGGACTTCAAACATGATAATCGTACCGTCTGGTGAGACTGCTACCCTTGAGTCACAAACTCAGAATTTCTCATGTTTTTCATCATCTTTCTCACAAGCATCTCCATGCATATCTACAATGAATTATTTTTAAGTCAAAGAAAATCTAGTTGTCTTTGTTGACTAAGGGCACTGGGAAAGTTTCTTTCCCTGCTTCTTGAACAGTCCTCAGTTATTTTATCATGAAAACACATTTTTTAATAGCTATGCATGGAAGCTACAACAGGGAAATCAGTCAGTTAGGCCATGTTGACCTTTGCTGTCTTCATGAGCAAATAGCTCTAATCATATTTATTTGCCTGTTTATTTGTCATATCCCATTTAATGAATTTCCTTCATTCACATTTATTTCAAAATTCCAGCATACACAGTACATTACATCTGAAACTGTAGTTGCTGGGTTTGGAAGCGCATGTTTGCTTGTGTGTCTTTGTCATTTAAAGGGTTAATGATTAGACACTCTTTCACCTGGCTTTCTTAAGTATAACATGGCTGACTATAAATATTGAGACTAAGGGTCAGGGCAGCTACACGCACTGCCAAAAGGTGAAAGATTGTGTGACCCTTGGGAGTTATGAAAGGACATAATATACAAAAAGAACATACGTCAGCATTTTAGCTGCATGGTGCAGTCTGACCATGCAGCTTCTCCATCAAAAACAGAAATTGCTGGAAAAGCTCAGCAGGTCTGGCACTGGCAGATCTGTGGACAGAAATGAGAGTTAACATTTCGCGTTGAGCGACCTTTCGTCAGAACTGACAGTAGCTAGGAAAATGTTGGTTTATATGCAGAAGAAAGGGTGGGGGAAGTGGGTAAGGAGTAAACGATAGGTGGGGATAGAGCCCAAAAAGAGAGAACAGTTGGACAGATAAAGACTGAAAACTGCGGATGCTGTAAATCAGGAACAAAAGCAGAAGTTGCTAGAAAAGCTCTGGCAGCGTCTGTGAAGAAAAAAATCAGAGTTAACGTTAACTCTAATTTTTCTTCACAGATGCTGCCAGATCTGCTGAGCTTTTTCAGCAACTTCTGTTTTGTTGGACAGATAAAGGAATGGATAACGATCTGGCGAGGAGGCTGAATAGCTATTAATGGGTTGTGTGTAATAGCAGACTGGGGTTGGGGTAAGGACATGGGAAAGCTCAAGCCCTAAAGTTGTTGAACTCAATATTGAGTCCAGAAAGCTGCAGGGTCCCAAAACAGAAAAAGCTTTGAATTACCTTTATTTGTCACAGATAGTCTTATTCTCACCTCCAAATTGGCTCATGCAGGAACCTATTCCTCAGGGGATTGGCAGTTTCTCATGCATGCAGTGATTATAATGAGATCAGCCAGGTGGACTTCATAGAATATGATTGGGGCTGTTGATCTGGCCCAGTCAGAGAGCCCTGTCTGACTGATATAAACAAGAGTGTCAGATATTCTGCTCGCTCTGACAGCTGGCTTTGAGGGAGCTGGATCAGTGTCAAGGACTCTCCATGCGTAAATTAAAGGGTCACTTGGTGATGGGAGACTGGCCTCTGTGGAGTTATTTCACAGCCCTTTATTCAAAACCCAAAAAAGAATCCATGGGATTCATTCATCACGTTCTTGATTAGCTGCAGCTCAACATATTTTGTATCAAGGGCATAGCCACCAGTACAAGGAGAGAAGAGTTAAGCAAGTTACATTTAGACAGTTATCAGCGCCCAGGTACAAATCACAGTGGATA